AGAGAGAGAGAGAGAGAGAGAGAGAGAGAGAGAGAGAGAGAGAGAGAGAGAGAGAGAGAGAGAGAGAGAGAGAGAGAGAGATTTGAAGACTGGCTGAGGAAATACCTTCGGTGTTATAAACTTGTGACAAGTAGGATGCCGCGTGTTTGTTGGGTTTCGTCAGAAGCTGTTCACTTGAGGTTTGCGAAGTTCTCACTTGGGATTGGATATGCAAGTGATTGTTGTTCATGACGACAACAAAAACCTTCTGAAGCTCTTTTGGTTCTGTGGAGCTGTGCATCTCCTTCGAGTTTCGCCGCTTTTACGCAGGTAGCGCTCTTTTGGTTCTCGCAGGGTATGGGAGAGTTATACAAGCGTAAAGGACGTGCTGTATAGAAGTGGGATGTTCTTGATATAGGGAAAGCGAAAGACGAAGGAAGAAATGCATGTTTGATTGATCACACGTTGAACGGAGCGATATATTAACTGCGTGTTTAATAAAACAGTGTAAGAATGTCAGAAGAGTATGCGTATAGATGGATTGCAATTAGCAGTGTATGTGCATATAGAAGGATAGTTGGGTTCGGATCGCGCATTCTGTCAATCTGCACATACATACTTAATGATTGTAGATATATCTTTTTATATATATATATATTTCTTGTCTAGCACTGGCTTTAATATGTGGTCCTCGCTGCGAATACATCAACTCCGAAAACAAAGTCTCATATAGGAATTTATTATTTATTAGTTTTGATGATTTGCTCGAGAGCGATGGACGTTCTTCACTGGTTTATAGGGCGGTAAAATGACCAGGCAATGATCGGGCGGAGTAGGCTTATTCATTGCATAGCGTAGCCCCCTGAATAGAACGCACCCTCATCAGTCATGTCTGTATCGGTCGAGAAAGAAAGCGTGTATACTCTTATGATCGATGTTCGTTGTGCTCGGTAAATCGGCGACCGCATCGCCTGTCTCGACTGACGTTTTGGTAGAATACCCACATGCCGTCGGATCTCGGTGATGGGAGGAGCTGTCAACAGGTGTCCACTGTAATCATTATGTTATAATAATAAATTATATACCTTCTTTTCCTTGTTCCGCCGTTTCGGACTCGATTATTGTACTGGTTCCCGAAAAAAGAAGAGGAATATCTATTGTATTAGCTGCCGTGCTAGATTATGCGTGTCAAAAGAAAAAAACAAAAAACCTGTCGAGTGAAGTCTCTCTCGAAAAACAAAAGAAAAAACAAAATCTCTTTTATCGAATAGCAATTGTGAGACTCCGAAGGGGGGAGAGAGAAATCGACTTCTCCTAAACTCTGCCTGGCAGTCTGCCTGGCACTTTGATCATGCCTGGTATTTGTTCGGCGGAACACGGTGCGGGTCATAATGTCCATCCGCAATTCTGGTGTAATTTCGGTTCTCGTCACTCTTTAGATAATGTATCGGACCGCAAGTATTTAAAACTGTTGTCTTTATTATGATGTTTTTGTTGATGTTTTTGTTGTTGTTTTTGTTGCTGTTGTTTCAAGCTGTGTGTGGGATTCAGATTGCAAGTGTGATGTTCATTTTTGTTGAGCTCCATTTGGGAAGCGATGTTTTTTTTTTTGTTTTTTTTAAACCTTTTTTTCACGGTTTCCTTCGCGAGCCTCGCTTTCGGCGCACAGCATGTGATTCCTTGCTGTGCTGCTGTTTTTTTTTTTCGTTAGCTTTGCCGTGATTTCCATTTGCGTACAGATGTGCGGCAAAGTGTTGCTCTCCTCTTTTCCAGACGCCAGAAATCCTTACGTCGGGAAATGCAGCTCGAAACAATGGGGCTCGGCCCACCACTCAGCAGAAGTGAAAAAGACAAAAGCTATGGCGGCTGTATGCGTTCACGTTCTATTGGAAGATTCATGTTCGATTTACACGTTTGTTGAGTAGTGCGGCGAGGCCCAATGGTCGAGTATTCCCGCGTGTTATTCCTCCATCATCTCGAAGTGTTGGACGTAAAATGTTGCGCAGTTGCGTGACGTGTTTGCGAGCGCTCTTCGGCTCGAACGTGGAAAGGTGCATCCCCCATATTTTTGCCTTTTTCACATTTGGTGAGTGGTGCGGCGAGACCCGTAATGTGTGCACTTTTTCGTCCGATGGATTTTTTTTTTTTTTTTTTTTTTTTGCGTCCGATGGTATATACCATAAATAGCTCCGTGTCGCAGTCCTCAACAAATGTGCCAAATGGAGAACGTGGGTTCAGCCATGGTGGGCGTATGGGCGTCGTCGCACTACTCTCGAAATGTACAAAAGACAAATGATAGCGGTGCATCTTCCCATGTTTTAGCGGAAGATTAATTCTCATTTGTACATTTGGTGAGCAGTGCGGCGAGGCCCTACCTTTCCAAACGGTAGGGGAAGATACATCCTCGATTTTGCACCTTCGGTGAGCAGTGAGGCGAGGCCCTGTACCTTGCACTAGACCGTGGAGAGCGTGTGCAGGTACACACGCCATAGCTGTTGTTTTTTTCATGTTTGGTGAGTGGAGCGGTGCACCACTCACCAAAGCTATGGCTGGTGTATGTTGCCACGTTCTAGCGGAAGATGCATCTCCATTTTGCACGTTTGGTGCGAGGCCCATAGTTAGGACCGTTGCGGTATAAGGGGGAGCCGTTGAGCCTTGCCCCACTGCACAACAT